TTTCCTAAATTTCCAAATACCAAAATTTCGAATTCCAAAACTTCGAATTCCGAAATTTCCAAATTCCAAAATTCCGAATTCCAAAATTTCGAATTCCAAAACTTCCAAATTTCAAAATTTCGAATTCCAAAATTTCCGAATTCCAAATTTTCCAAATTCCAAATTTTCCAAATTCTAAAATTCCGAATTCCAAAATTTTCAAATTCTAAAATTCCAAATTCCAAAATTCTGAATTCCAAAATTCTGAATTCCAAAATTCCGAATTCCAAAACTTCCAAATTCCAAAATTTCCAAATTCCAAAACTTCCAAATTCCAAAATTTCCAAATTCCAAAATTTCCAAATTCCAAAATTTCCAAATTCCAAAATTTCCAAATTCCACATTTCCGAATTCCAAAATATCCAAATTCCCAAACCTTCCCAACACACAGTTCTTCCTTCAACGTTCAAAATTTAATAATTTCGTCAGCAACTTTCGGAGCAGCCCGATATTATCACAATAAGTGTTCATAATTTTCATGTTACATGGTCTCTGAATCACGGTACGCATGATGAATCCATAATTGAACTATTTGCACGATGCACACATTAACCAGTTGCGTTTATTATGAAAATGCAGCATCTGCGTTGGCATCAAACTTTCGGTAATGAAGTTAATCAAGATTACAACTACCACGTATTATCAAACACTGTTATCAATGATGTATTAATTATATTCGAAAAGGGTTTTGCTTTCCAATTATATACGTCCTATTGGGAGTAATGAAAATCGAGAACCTTCTGTTTGTGGCTCGAATATGATTCGTTTAAATATGAGTACTCCTCGGGACAATGTTTATGGATTCATTAAAATTATATTGTAACTGATTGAAAACGATTTCATTTATATAAATGAGGGTGCTTGCGTTTTGATTCGTTTCGATTTTACACTTGAGAGGGGCTTTTTAGAAATTTATGAGGTTGTATTTTCGTGTTGGGTGTTTTGAAGGGATTCTTTTCAAATTTATCAATTCATAAGTTTACAAGTTTACTAATTTACCAATTTTCCAATTTTTCAATCTTCTAATTTCCCAATTTTCTAATTTCTCTATTTTCCAATTTTCCAATTTCTCTATTTCTCAATTTCTCTATTTCTCAATTTCTCAATTTCCCAATTTCTCAATTTCCCAATTTCCCAATTTCCCAAATCCCAATTTCCCAAATCCCAATCTCTCAATTCCCCAATTTCCCAAATCCGAATTTCTCTAATTTCCCAATTTCCTAAATTCCAATTTTCCAACTCCCAATCTCTCAATCCCCCAATTTTCCAAATCCCAATCTCTCAATCCCCCAATTTCCCAAATCCCAATTTCTCTAATTTCCCAATTTCCCAAATTCCCAAATTCCCAATTTCCCAAATCCCAATCTCTCAATTCCCCAACTTCCCAAATCCGAATTTCTCTAATTTCCCAATTTCCCAAATTCCCAATTTCCCAAATCCCAATCTCCCATTCCCCCAATTTCCCAAATCCGAATTTCTCTAATTTCCCAATTTCCTAAATTCCAATTTTCCAACTCCCAATCTCTCAATCCCCCAATTTTCCAAATCCCAATCTCTCAATCCCCCAATTTCCCAAATCCCAATTTCTCTAATTTCCCAATTTCCCAAATTCCCAAATTCCCAATTTCCCAAATCCCAATCTCCCAT